GGGACCTGCCCCACATGGGTGTGGGGGCACCGGAGCTGCCCCACACGGGTCTAGGGACACTGGGACCTGCCCCACATGGGTGTGGGGGCACCGGAGCTGCCCCACACGGGTCTAGGGACACTGGGACCTGCCCTGCGTGGGCCTGGGGACAGCGGGACCTGCCCCATCTGGGTGTGGGGACAGCAGGACCTGCCCTGCGTGGGCCTGGGGGCACCAGGACCTGCCCCGCATGGGCCTGGGGACACTGGGACCTGCCCCATGCAGGTGTGCAGGTGTGGGGACAGTGGGACCTGCCCGTGTGGGCCTGGGGGCACCAGGACCTGCCCCGTGTGGGTGTCGGGACACCAGGAGCTGCCCTGCATGGGCCTAGGGACACTGGGAGCTGCCCCGTGTGGGTGTGGGGACACCGGGAGCTGCCCCACGCAGGTGTGGGGACACCGGGACCTACCCCATGGGTGCCTGGGTACACTGGGACCTGCCCCATGTGGGTGTGGGGACAGTAGGACCTGCACTGTAGGGGTGTAGGGACCTGCCCCACGCGGATGGGAGACAGCGGGACCTGCCCTGTGTGGGCGTGGGGACATGAGGACCTGCCCCATGCGGGTGGGGGGACACCAGGACCTGCCCCACAGGGGCCTGAGGACCTGGGCCTTGCCCCACACAGTCCTGGGAGCCTGCCCCACACAGGCCTCCATGTTCTGCCCCATGCGGGTGCACCCTTCGGCCCCCCACCCCTCAGGGCCCTGCGCCAGGCGGCCCCGGCAGCGCCATGGGGCCCCAGGACCACCCCGTCCCTCAGCCCTGCGGGCCTTATACGGGCACGGCCGGGCTGCAGTGGCACTGCATTCCTGGGGGCTGAGCTCACCCACCACCTCCCCCTCACCCACTCCCGCCTTGGAGCACCCCTGGACCATGCCGGGCCCGAGACCCCACATCCCTGTGGCGGATCACGCTGCCCTTCTTCCTCCCACCCCGCCGCCACGCGCCAAAACCCGCCATTGCGGCAGCTTTAGCCATTGCTAAAACTCTCCGGTCTCAGGGGAGAAAACGCTGCCGAGGGTGGCGTTCCTCTGCGCCACGAGGGTCATGGAGCCCCCGAGAGCTCAATAAAAACATAACCGAGACGTGTCGCTGCCCTCGCACGCCGCAAAGCCTGTTTGGCAGCACTTCGGGCACGCGAACAGAAGGGAAAGGGGCACCGGGCTGCCGCCCCTGCGCCGCCTCCTAAAAACCTCAGCAGCCGGGCAGGCGCGTGCCCCAGGGGTGCGTTTGCCAGGGCGGAGAAGGCCAGCACACGCTCGGCCGGCCGAACGCCTTGGCACATCCCCCAGAGATGAGCTGGCGACCGAAAGAGCCTGAGCCTGCGTGCTCTCGCTGGCTGGAAGCAGCCGGGAGGCAGCTCTGCGCATCCAACGCTCCGGGATGCGAAACCCCTCCTCCCGCCCCTCCGCTTCCCTGAGCCGGGGTGAAACCGGGGGAGCCCCGACAGCCGCCCTTGGGGGGGGACAGCCAGAAAAATGGGGGTTCCAAATGCAGAGAAAGGGATGAAGGAGTTGCAAAGCGAGCGGGGACGTGGTCCTCAGCGCTGCGCTGTGATGGCAGGGAGAGAGCGTGAAAAAGCCAGCAGGGAGCGAAGGGAGGGAAGAAGGGTGCGAAGGAGGGAAAGGGCTCCCCGGAGCTCTGCAACGCCGTGCTCGGCACAGGCCGAGCTCCAGCGCACGGCCGGCGCTGCCGGCACGCTCAGCCGGGGCCGGGACAGGAAGCCGCAAAGCAAAGCCGCAGGGCTGACGAACCGCCCGGCGCTCAGGGAGGGCTCAGGAGTTCACGATTACGCCCTGGTCCCCAGCTCGGAGCCAGAAGGTGCCAGCAAGAGCCAGCCCAGGCGCTGTGCTGGGGCTCGGGGCGCGTCCCCACGGCCCGGCGTCAGCACCGTAGCGGGAGGAGGTGGCCTCCGGGCTGGATGTGAGAGCCGGGCCCATCGAGGGCCGGGGGTTTTCTCCTGGCTCCCGCAGGAGGGAAGAGCTGCATCTCCCTGACGCTCGACCCCGAGACATCGCGGCCCCACGGGGTGACGGCCCCTCCGGCTGCCAGGTGATGAGTGGGGCCAGACGCCGCGCCACGTGGTGCCCGGGAGAGCGGCCGGCCGGTGAAACCCTGCACCGCTTGCGCCATTGTTTTCCTGGAAACGGCGGCCAACAATAGCCGGGCTGTGCCGTTGTCACGCTGCCCACGTGGTCTCCGCCTGCCCTGGGAGACGAGGGCTCCCTCCTCCTCTGGAGCCCGGCTCCTCCGACAGCAGCTGGGACTCGGAGCTCCCTGGGGACACGCATGGACCCCACGTCCCATGCTCGAGGAGCTGCTCGCTGCCGCCAGCCGTCGTGGCTCTGCCCCCAGCTCGGGGAGCCTGGCTGCCCAGCCTGCTCCATCCCTGCTCCCAGGCTGCCTGGGACGTCCTTGCCCGGGAAGAAGCTGGGACCAGCCCTGCCAGCATCCCTCTGTCCCCTGCGTGGCCGTGGGTGGCCCCCCCAGGATGTGTCCTTCCTGGGGTCACTCTCTGCTCCCAGACTCCCACACAGCTTTGCCAGGAGCGCAGAGCCTGACCGTGACCTCCCTCCATCCCCAAGGCTGCAGGGAAGGGCTGCAGGCCCACTGGGAGGGCGACAAGGGGAGGACGGCCAACCCAGCTCCCACCCTGCACCCCATACGTACGTCCGCCGCCTTCTTCTCTGCCAGCTCCAGCTTCTCCTGGGCATCTTTCAGCGCCTCGGAGTATTTGTCCAGCTCGTCCTCTGTCCCCTTCAGCTTCTTCTGCATGGCAGCGAGCTCATCCTCCAGCTGGAAAGGCAGTGGTGGTCACCGCAGGTGGACGCCCCTCTGGACCCCCACACGGCGGGAGAGCCCTGCCTCCCCCGTCCCAGGCTCAGCTCTGCCCCATGGCATCCCTCCTGCCCCACCCCGGGGCCAGCTCTGCCCCGCAGCGTCCGTCCCTGGCCCACATGACACCAGCTGGCAGGGGCTGAGCCCTGGGCAGCCCTCGGGACGCCCCACGGCATCGTGACACGGTCCCCGAGCTGTGAGACGGTGGCAGCTCTCACACCCTTGTTCCTCTTGCCGGAGTCTGTGTTGGGTCTGGGCTCGGCAGGGTCCAGCACGGGGAGAAGCCGTCCCCCCCGAAACATCCCCGGGCTGGGGGCTTCTGCTGCCCACCCTACCTGCTTGCTCCGCTCCTCCGCCTGCTTCTGCTCAGCCTCCGCCTGCTCCGCCCGGTCCAGGGCGTTCTCCTTGTCCAGCTTCAGCATCTGCATCTTCTTCTTGATGGCCTCCATCCTCGGTAGGACACGGGCGCCGGCGGCGGGGCGGCGGGCAGCGGGACGGGCAAGGGGCAGGCA